AGGCAATTAATAAACAGCCGAAACTATATTAAAACATAGTGAGGGGTACGACGAAACCCTGAAACCCGAAATTAGCCAAAACTATATTAAAATATAGTAAGGGATATGACGAAATTATTTTGAGGGATTTTCGGTTGGCATCTTTAATTCATACAAATACAAAGGAAATTCATTGGCAAATGTTTATTCCTTCCAAGTATCTGTGAATAATTACAATCCAATCAATAAAGACAATTATAATAATCTATTATTTTCTTCAGCACTTTCATGGGATCACACTCTCGTTCTCACATGGAATATCAAAACATATAGCTCACGAAAAACAGGTGAGGTGCCTAATGCAAAATATGAAGAAAACGTTGTGTTCATGATTTGTATGACTGTTCATTGGAAAGATGATCCCAAACCGTTAAAACAAATCTGTCTTGTTGATGATGAAACTGCACCAGACTCATGCTTGATCACAGTTGTATGTAGAAACCAAACCAATTTACTGAAAGCATTTGCATTATGTAGGAAATGTTTAGCTCTGGATATACATATAGGTTTTAATGATTCACAATATGACTGGCTATTGATTGTGGAGAAGGCGAAAAAGTTAGGCATTCTCGAATGGATGTTCAATCATATGTCACTAAAACCTATGAGCCTTGAAAAGCTCTTAGCTGTTAGTGGTTAATGGTCAAGTATAATGTAATCAATGAATATAGGGAGGTTGCAAGTATAGCATTTATATCATTATTCGATATGCATTATTTTGCAATAGGAATGAAAGTGCATAATCTTTTAAGTGCCAGTACGTGGCAGGAAGGAATTTTAACCAGTACAATTCCATGTGAACAAATGGAAATAGGAAAATACCCTGGAGCCTATATTTTCCCACCGGTAAAGGGTCTTGAAAATCGACGACCTGTAACTGGCTTAGACTTTACATCATTATATCCAAGCCTTATCATGACATATAATCTCTTATCTGATAAAATCATTTTATCTCGAGAGCGTGCTGAATCTCTAAAGGAAAGCGGTAAAAGACTTTATGAAATTAATTTCAAATACAATAGTCGGAATGTTCTTGCATAGTCTATAGAGCATGGAAATCAAGCTGAAATGAAAGGCCTTTATCTAAAAGTATTAGAGGAGTTGCTTATTAAATGAAATTCTCTAAAAAAAAATCTTGCTCCATTAAATGATAGAAAAGAAGAATTAGAAAAGAAAATTGGTTTGGCAGAAGCAAGTAGCGAGAACGTTACAGATGCTTTAAAATCTGAATACTCTTTAGTTTCTTTTATTGACGTCTGTTTAGATGCAAAATCACTTTAAAAGTATATATGAATACATTTTTAGTGAAGCTAAAAATAGCGGATCCCCTTTCTTATTGCGAGCATTAGCAGGCGGGGTAACATCAACTGGTCAGCGGAATATCAAGCTTATTGCCAATCTTGTTAGAAGTAAAAGGTTCAGTGTAAAATACGGGAATACAGATTCTTTATACCTTGTCTGTCCAGAAAAATATTTTCAGAAATATGATGAGGCATATGATAATGGTAATGGGATCTCGAAAGAAGAATATTGGTGTATAATGGTGAACATCTCTATAGAAGTAATAGAAAGACTTCATGATGAAGTTAATGACTTTCTCAGAAATGATAATGGATTATCTTATTTCAAAATGGCGTATGAGGAAGTCTTATTTCCAGTAGTATTTACTGGAAAGAAAAAATACTATGGCATCCTATATAGAAGAGAACCCAACTTTAATAATAAGCTTTTCATTCGAGGTGTTGAGATTGTAAAGCAAGGGTAGTCTAAACACTTTTGTGAAGTAGGTAAGAAAGTCATAGATAAATCTATGAAGGTGGATAATTTGCATATCTTATATCAGATTGTGAAGAACGTGCTCAAAGAGATCATAAATTATATTTTACAGATAGACTTTAATGGGATAGTTAAAACTGCTGTGTGGAAGTCCAATAAAAATAAAAAGAGTGTTCAGTGTTTCATTTCACGAATGCAAAATAGACATACCTGTAAAGAAGCAGATACCAAATGGTGCATAAAAAAGAGTTTAACACCTGAGCCTTATCTTTATCAAATCCCAGAACCAGGCGAACACTTTGAGTATATTATAGTTGAGAATGATTCATCACAAAGTTAGGCGATAAAATGGAGTATCCAGAAGTAGTGAGGCAATTAGATAAAAAGATCAATATCAGCTATTATCTGAAAACCATTGTCGGCCTCTGTACACGATTTATTAACTATAATGAAAGTTTCCAACCATCATATGAAATTGTATTGGGGGCCTTAAAAAAGTTAAAAAATGGTAATAAAGCAGGTAACAATAAAGTGGATGATGGTGTGGTGGATGAAGATGACCTGGACGAAGATAAAGAAGATGAAGACAAAATGGATGAAAATGAGGTATCAAAAATAAGAGATGCCTTAGCGCAAAAATCGGCTGAAAAATGGGTTGAAGGTATATCAAAGAACTATATACTGGTCCAAAAAAGGTCATGCCAATATATTCTATCTGTAAAAAGAGGCTAATACTTATGCGAAAAATTTATTTAATAGCACGTATGCTGATAAAATAGTAAATATTCGGGAAATGATGCTTATTGGTCTTCCTACCTTAATGCATTAGATAAGCAAGAGAAATCCATCTGCTTAAAGCTAACATAACAACATTACTTGCAAAAATTTCTAAGATCAATGTTGGCTGTAGAGATGAAATGTATAAATTAGTTATTAAGGTTGATAAGCACAGATTAAAAGCCATGTTCTTAAAAAGATACATGTTATCATATAATCTAGAAAATGGATGTGATTTACTAACTGATTTACGAAATACATGGTATAGAATAGTTGGTCTAGAATATACATGAAGTCGAAATGAAACTCAAAAGTTGAAATATTTTGACTTTGGATGTCAAAGATGAAATGAAAAGTCGAAATGGTCGAAATTACGTCATATTACATGATTTTTATATAAAGAAAAAAATATTGCTCCGAT